CCATCACCAGAGGGCAGCAGCCGTCCCTTCTGAGGGCCCGCCGAGCCCCGAGGCTGAACACTGAACACCGCAGGGCTCGCTCCTCCACCCAGCAGCCCACAAGCCGGTCCAACAAGCCCCAAAGCCCTCAAGGGGCCAGCTGGATGGCCCCGGGGCCAGCAGCAGGGCCTCGGCGGGGGCAGGCACTACGTACACCAGATACTGGTCCCGCAGTTTGCGCAGCTGCATGAGGTCTGGCTTGAGGCTGTTCATGCGCTTGTCGATCTCCCGGTTCTCCGAGGCTTGTTTCTTCAGGTCCTGCTCCAGCTTCATCTTGCTGTCGTGGATCTCTGTGATGCGAGACTTGAGCTTCTCAGAGTTCATGAGGATGCTGGGAGAAAAAAGGGGGGGGGTTTAGGCGGTGAGCCAAGGCGGGGGAGGCAGAGGAGGCAGCCTGCCAGCTCCAGCCCTCTGCACGCTGCTGGAGGCGCCGGGAGCGCGCATGCCTCGGCGCTGTGCTGGGCCAGGCTGATCCTTCCAGCCCCAGGAGCCCTTCCCCTGGCAGGGCAGGTGGCCACCGCTCCCCCGGCCTCACCGTTGCACCTCCTTCTCGTTGCCCTCCCGACGGAAGCGCTCGATGTACTCCTTGCTGCATTTCTCCTGCGTCTGACACTGCTCCTCAAAGATCTTGATCGTCTCGTTGAAGGCCTCGATGGCCGTCCTCTTCATCTGCAGCTCCTGAAAACGGAGAGGGGAGCTCAGGAAGGGGGAGGTTTGGGGCAGATTTCTGCCTATTTGCAGCCTCTTTCTCCCTCTACAAAGCAGCACTGTCTTTGCTGCAGCCAAAACATCCCCCTCTCCAAAGCCCACTCTCTGGGGCGTCCCCTCAGGTCCAGGAGCAGATGAACAGGGCAGGGGATGCCCAACCTCTGCTCTCCTCTGTGCTGCCAGTGACGAGGGGACGTCAGTGCCCCTGTACCTGGGACGTGCGCGTGTACTCCTCGTACAGCAGGTCGTACTCCCAGCTCTTGTCCTGGTACTGCTGGTGATAGACCTTCAGCTGCTCCCCGACGGCCTCCACGCTGTCCTCCTTCACCACTTGATCCTGCCATAGGCACAGCCTCAGTCAGGACCTACTCCTGACCCCCAGCAGAACCACCTCATGAACCCCCACCAGCCCTCCAGGATGGCCACCACCCCACAAAGCAATGTTCCAGCACGGGGGAAGGGGTGGGACGTTGTCATCTACCAAAGAGCCAGGGATGGACAAGGAACCACTCCTGGTTTGGGTTGTGCTGACCAGCCACGTCCCTGCAGCACGGGCCTCACCTGCTGGTACTTGGAGATGGGGTAGAGCAGCCTGGTGTCCAGCTTGGCGTTGTACTGGGCCAGCGACTCGTGCCGGTAATGGGTGATGAGCTCCACCACGGAGCCGAACGTCAGGGGCTCCGAGAAGCCGTATTTGCCCTCCCGGTGGAAGATCTTGATCAGCTTGTTATTGCCTCCCTTCCTGCAGCAGGGTGGGGAGAGCACAGGACACTTAGCACCACCCCAGCACCCTGCCCCAGCCGGCCGTCTGGGCGTCCAGGCAGCCACAAGCACAGGGACACGTGCAGACAGCTCACCCCAGCGCAGCGGCAGCTCTGGGGGGACCCCAGAGCAGCTCTCGGGTCTCGGGGGACCCCAGCACCCTACCTGAGCGTCAGGGTGTACTCTCCCTGGATCTTGCTGGAGGCATCACGCACCAAGAAGGTACCATCCGGCGTGTCCCGCAGCTTCTCGTTCACCTCCTCCCTGTGGGGAAAATGATTGTCATGGCCTGTGAGGTGCAGCCAGAGCTCCTCCTGGTCACTCGATGGAGGAGGCACCCTGGATGTGAGCTGCCCGTCACCCCCTTACCGGGAGATGTCACCCCAGTACCACTCGGCGTCCTGCAAAGGCACGCTGTTGCCGTTGGCCAAGCTGGCCGCGCTGGGCTTTGGCTTAGGTGGTTTTGGTGGCAAGGCTGTAAGAGAAGGAGGGTTGTGGCAAGGTAAGCCCAACTGCCAGCTGCCCACAGGCAATCCCTTGGAGTGCTGAGTCCTCCTCCCTGCAGTGACTGTCCTGGGAAGCCCCCTTGGCCACCATGCTGCCAGGAGCTGCTCCAGGCACACCGACAGCCAGAGGTGAACACCTCCAGCTGGCCTCCAAGCACAGCTGGGCTACAGAAAGGCCCTCGGCAACCTGCTCATGGGGGCGGAGACTCCACCCCCAACAACACCTGTGCCTTGGGCCCCAAGGAAGGGGTATTTCTACCTGGAGGCAACTGTTCCGGCTCCAACTCCTTCGTCTGCAGAAGCATCTCCAAAAACAGCACGGAGAAGTCAGGGCTCAGCTCTGGGCTGCAGAGAGAAAGGAGCTGAGTAAGAAGGGCGGTTGTGGGGGAGAACTTGGCACTGCTCCCATGCC